AATAGAGCAGGGATCACGTGAGAAACAATTAGTAACTAAATTTCAGATTCCTACCTCGGTGGTTGCTGCGGCCCGGCGCCTGCCTCGGTGCCTCCTCTGCTGGAACTGCCGATTGCCGAACAGGAATTAGAGACGAGGGATCACGTGAGAGGTGAGATTAGGGCCCTGTGACTGTGATTTGCCGCTGCTCTGCCGCACGCGCCGACGCCGCCAGGCCCCGCCCGCCACGCACCCACGCCGCATGCGCAGCCGCGCACCGAAGGCGGAAGGTCGCGTATCGCATGACTGCTGGCTATATATGGCCAAACGGGCCGCCCGGCACGGCACTGGCACGGGCACGGACAGGCACGGCCCGGCCAGGCACGGCACTACGCCGCACGGCATGTTAGCCGTGCCGTGCCTGATAGTGCCGCCGTGCCGACTCAGCGGCCCAGGCACGGCACTATCATGGCTTAGGCGTGCCGTGCCGTGCCACTGGGCACGGCAGCCCGTAGTGCTCGTGCCGGCACTGACACTAAAAGTGCCAAACACCTCATAAACTTCAGAATTTTATCAGAAACTTGTACAATACATCAATTTTTAGAAGATCACACTTTGACAGCAGAGATACAAGTTCAAACTTTAACTGAAACTTCAGAAGATAACAAACACAGAAACAGACCAGAGAGAACAAAATAAAATTTTATTGGAGCTTTAGTGCAATGGCTGCCTCATTAAAAACCTGTCTAGGTAAAACTCACCCTTGTGAGAAACCCTAGACAAGGAAAAAAGAGTACAGCCTAGCTCCTTTTAAGTTCATTGTCCTTAAATCAAAGTTCATAAGTCCAGCATATTACAGTCCAGCACATAAATGATAACTAAGACAACTAATCAAGATAAAGTTCTTCAAATGCTTCTTCAAGCTCCTAGTCTTCCACATTGTGCTGCATCCTTGCCTCAGCTGCCTCCCAATCTTTGATGCAGGTGAGCATCTCCACCATCTCAGCCTTCAGCCTCCTCCGCCGCTCCTCGATTATCCTGCCAGTCATACTAAAAGTGGACTCTGAAGATATGGTAGAAACAGGAACAGTTAAAATATCTTTAGCCATGATTGACAGAACTGGATAAGTGAGTTTGTGCTCATGCCACCAGTTCAACAGGTTAAAATCATCATCTAACTGGCTAACAGTGTCACAGTCCAAGTAGGAAACTAGTTTAGAAGTATTATTAGAAGAACTTGCAGCATGCAGCAGGGCAGTTGCAGAGGTATGTCTAGACAGATTAAGAGTACCAGATAGAGGATGGATACCACCTGCAGAACAATCACCTTCATCATCATCATAAATCTCATCCCAAGCAGACCTTTTCTTACCAGACAGGTTATGAGGGACAGTCCTCCTCAACCTAACAGATCCAAATTTTTCCTCATACTTATTGTAAACATCAGTTAGTCGAGCTCTAGTGGCAAGCTGGTAAGTTTCATAGGATGTACTGGTAAGGCTACCCAACCTCCTCAGTACTCTGCTGAAACCTTTCATTTTAGCTCTAGGATCTAAGATGAATGCAAAAGAATATAGCAAAGGAATATTCCTCCAGTATTTATTATATTTGTCTATCATTGGTTGAATCACATGTCTGAGGTGAGTGTCATTACCATAGTTTTTTAGGTGTATAGCAATCTTAACTAGATAATGAATCATAAGTGGAGATGTAGGATAGTACACACCGGACAAAAACAACAAGAGCATCATAAAAACAGTTCAAGAAATTTAAATACTTTTTGTCCAACACCCCAATGTTCATCGAGTTAAAAAGCAATCGACCACCTTCACCCCTAGGATAGTGAGCATGCATGAAAGTAGTGAAAGGAGTCTCGTGAGGAAACAAATGCTTGAGCATCGATATGTAGAATTCCACCTTACCTCCATGTCCAAATTGAAATTTCCTAGGTCTAACACCAAAGGGCAATCTGATAACTTTTGTATGCAAAAAATTCTCAAGTTAGATGAGTTCGAAATGATATTGCGATTCTAAATGTTTCAATCAAAGGTCAAGAGCATTAAGGGCCTCCTTAACAATGAGATTTATGATATGACACGCTAACGCCGATGCATAAACAAAGTACTAACTGCATTATCGGTTTCATTTGTATCATTTCTATCATTATCGGGGTACTTCAATACCAATATATTTAGATAGTACAGCCTAAGTGTACGCATGGCGAAACATTATATGAGGCATTGTCCAAAGTAACAAAGAAAGACCTTTTCACCATCAAACCATAATCGGCAAAGCACAGATATATAACCCTTTCAAATGTTGTTTTGTCCACTATGGGACACATCAATAAGCACAAGACCAAGCACCCTCTTCTCTAGTTGTCAATCGGGATTTATGTAATGAGCAACCACACTAAGATAGTCCTCTTTGGCATTACTGGACCAAATGTCGAGGTAAGACAAACACAATTTATAGCGATGAACTAAGAGTCTCAACAAGCTTAGTCTTTTTATCGCTGAAGTATTTGACTATGTCTCTGGTGGTGGTTTGTCTAGAGACAGAACAAACTTTGGATTATGAGCATTTCTAATGTAATCATAAAAAGCATCAGTTTCACCCATACGAGATAGGCACATCAAGTCTACAAAGCAATCGAACCCGATTCGGTCACGAGCAACAATAGGACAAGATTCCCAAGAACGCATACTACCATCGAGGATTAAAAGATATCGAGAGGCTGAGTCATGCGAGTTTTCTCATGCCTCTTAACACATTTGTCCCTATGACGAGTGAGGTGACCAAAGTGCCACCACTAGAGAGAGCAGTAGTAATGCTTATTGCGAAGGATGCAATGAAAGCGGCATACCTTACCTTCTTACCTTTGGGACCTTTTTAAACAACTTCTTAAAATCGAGCCACACACAGGTAAGGTAGAAGGACGTGGCGCTTGTCGTCGTTGTCATCCTCTCCTTCTTCTTCTTCGCCCCTATTTGCATCATTCTTGCCGCCATCACCAATGGGATCCTCAACGCGACGGCCGAATAGCTCCGCAGGCGTCCTCGCAGAGTCATCCTCGTCGTCATCTCCGGCTAGCCCGCACATCCGCCTCTCATCGTTGGCGCTGACCTCAACAGTCTCGTCGGAGGAGCGGGCAATCGTCACTCGCCGGCGCCCGGTTCCTCAACGGCTTCACACATAAACAAAGAATCAGTAGCAGATCTAGTTAGGGTTAGGGTTAGGGTTAGGGTTAGGGTTAGGGTTAGGGTTTACAGTACCTTGGCGGCCGGAGCACCGGGAACGCCGGCGACGTCGACGACGCGGGATCCGGCCCTCTGGTTCCCCGATGGATGCGAATCAAGAGGGGACCTACAGGACGGGAGCACATCAGATCGAGATCCAGGAGGGGATAAGAGAGGAAGAGCCAGATCTAGAGGGGAGCAAAGCTCAACTTACCGACATCCGGAGCACCAGAGTTGCCGGGGGCCCGGCGAGGTCGACGACGGTGACGAATGAAACGACGAGGTGGACGACAAGGATGCCACCGGAGGGCGAGAAGAAGAGAGGAGACACCACCAGAGAGGGAGACGAAGAGAGGAGAGAGCCGCTCGCAGAGGTTAGAGCGAGAGACAGGAGAGAGAGGGAGCTGGAAACAAATGAGCTAGGGTTTCGTCGATACGGGGCGGCGTGGGGGAAACGACGAGGTGGACGACAAGGCTACATCAACGGGGCGAGATCAAGACGAAGCCGTGCCGTGTGCCCGTGCCGGCCAGCAGTGGCTCTAGATGCCACCGGAGGACGAGAAGAAGAGAGGAGACACCACCGGAGAGGGAGACGAAGAGATGAGAGAGCCGCTCGCAGAGGTTAGAGCGAGAGACAGGAGAGAGAGGGAGCTGGAAACAAATGAGCTAGGGTTTCGTCGATACGGGGCGGCGGGGGGCGCTGGCTTATATCCTTTGCTGCAGCCGTGCCAAGGCCGTGCCGGCCTGTTTGCCGTGCCGTGCCTGGGCCGTGATAGCGGGCCGAGGTGGCAGCCCAGGCACGGGCACGAAGCAGGCCGGGCCGGGCCGGGCCTGGGCCGTGCTTTTTAGTGCCGGCCCACAGTGTTAGTGCCATTTGGAAAACTATACTGCTGGCTCACGTCGCACGCGCCGTGGTCACGGGGAGTCGGAGAGTCAATAATCTGGCGCTGACGTGTATATACGTATTACGTACTAGTGTATACATACTTGGGTAGGGGCCCATCGATGTTATGGGCCTAGCACGATCGTCCCTCCCCCCCCCTCAGGGCCGGGCCTAGGTGCCATCTTCGGCTGCTTCAAATACATAATAAAACGCAGGGCCCAAGGTGCAGTAGCGCCAGCCGAAAGCTAATCGAGAGATTATTAGCACGAGAGATGCAGTATCAGTCACTTTGATCAAATTATCTTTTCTGAACTTTTCGCCTATAACTACTCATTGTAAAGAATCTTATTGTTATGCTTGAATGCTCAATATCTAAATAGGCTTACAAATTTTATCGTGATCAATTGATTTGTCGATTATCTTGATTAGTTGGTGTTTATATACCCCATTGATATCGCAGGTTTCTTATGTCCACAAAATGATACTATTTAAAAAATCAAATGGCTTAACATGTGTTCTTCCTTAGGCCCTTTCTTTTACTCTGGTAGTATCGCGGATTAAAATCGATGCAAAAACAATGAATGCATTTCCATACTATAATAAAAAAAATATGGTTGGTGTACGATCATAGAAAATATTAGCTACAAACATAACCAATTCCTTCTTCTTTATTTGAAAACTTGAGGCATGGTTCAAGGTTAAAAATAATTGAGGACAGCGTGGATTTACCGTTTTACCTTTCGTTCTGTACACATTTTCCCAGCTGACGCGGAAGCCATGCTCCTGCACCCCGTAGTTCCATACACAAGGATCACATTTACTAAGCACTAAGCACAGGTCACGTCGACGACAGCCGCGTCTCGGGACCACCACAGCACACGGTCACGTCGGCGGCCGACATGGACACGGAGGCGCTCCTGGGCCACGCGCGCCACCAGCGGCACCTGCTGGACCGCCTCCTAGCGTGCCGCCCCGCAGGCGGCGCGGGGACCAGCGGCGTCGTGCGCGCCGCGCTTCACCCGCTGCTCAGGGACAGCTTCAGAGTCTACGAGGACGTCGCGCTCGTCCTGGCGCTCCTCCTCGACCGCTTCTTCGACATGGACTACCCCGAGTGCGTCAAGGCCTTCGAGACCTACGTCGGCACCGCCAAGCAGATCGACGCGCTGCGCGCCTTCTACACCTGGTGCGACGACGCCGGCGTCGCGCGCTCGGCCGACTTCCCCGACGTCAGGCGTGTCGACAAGTTACTCGAGACCATGGAGCAGTTCCTGAGGGAGCGCGGCCGGGCGGGACGCGCTGAGGCCTCGCCGCCGCGGCCACGATCGGCGCGCGAGTCTGATGTCAACGCGCAAGGCGACGACGACGACCGCGTCGACGACATGAACAGCATCAAGGCGCTCCCGGCGCAGCCAACGCGTTCCAGCCACGCTGAGCCCGCCCGACAGGTGGTTGTGCCGACGAAGGAGGCCGATCGGAGCGTTCTGGTGGACCTGAGAGAGCCGGCTGCCACCGCGGACGAGCAGGGCAACAAGCTGGCGCTTGCGCTCTTCTCCGCGCCGCCGGCCACGAGCGGCAACAACTGGGTCACGTTCCCATCGGAATCGGACGCCGCCGCCCCGGAGCCAGCGGTGACCTCGGCGTGGCAGACGTCGGCGGCTGAGCCCGGGAAGGCGGACTGGGAGCTGGCGCTGGTGGAGACGGCGAGCAACCTCTCGAAGCAGGCGGCGTCGCTGGGAGGCGGGATGGACACTCTGCTGCTGGGCGGGATGTACGACCAGGGCGCCGTGCGGCAGCAGGTGTGGCCGCGCAGGCGGCGTCGGGGAGCGCGAGCAGCGTGGCGCTGCTGCCGCCCGGGGGGCGTCAGGTGGCTCCTCCGGTGCTGATGCTCCCGGGCCCCGACGGCAGCACGGTGCGTCAGGTGGCCGGGGGCGACCCTTTCGCGGCGTCGCTGGCGGTGCCGCCGCTGTCGTACGTGCAGATGGCAGAGATGGAGCGCAAGCAGCAGCTGCTGGTGCAGGAGCAGCAGATGTGGGCGCAGTACCGGCAGGGCGGCATGCAGGGGCAGCCCGCCGGGTTCAACGGCCTCGCCGGCGGCAGCGTGTTCGCGTCGAACGCCGCCGTGGCGGTGCCCTATGCAGGGTATGGGATGCCCATAGCGTACAACCAAGTCGGTGGGTACTATTAGTGATGCGAGCCTTGTGATATTCCGACATGAACGATGAGTGTGTGAATAATCATGGTCGTGAGATGACAAGTTATTATAGTGCGTGTCTCTCGATCGATCGATTCTGGATGTACATTCCTGAGATAAGAATTTGGTCCTGTTGAAGCTCCATCTCCTCTGTGTCTTGTGTAATGAATTCTTGGCAGACATGGACATGAAAGCCTTGTGTGTTGGCAGCTAGAAACCATGTGGATTACTGTAAGCAGGAGAAAGAACAATGTGGACCTGATCAGAGGCTTACGCCTTTATACAAGTACATCACGGTAAGATAATTGACGAAGCTAGCTACATTCAAGGAGAGGCTTAGGACGTGTGAACGTGCACTGAACGTGCACGAAAACTTCTCGCTCACACTGTCGCTAACACCCCCGCAGTGTGAGCGTCGTTGCTAGCGACACACAGACTGTCTCTAAACTCCTTGAAGCTTGCCGTCGGTAGTCCTTCGGTCATGACGTCGGCGAGCTGCTGTGTCGTGGGTACTTGAAGAACTTGGCATTGTCCAACAGCGACTTTCTCTCGTACAAAGTGCACATCAAACTCAATGTGTTTTGTGCGTCTGTGGTGCACTGGATTAGAGCTCATGTAGCAAGCAGAGACATTGTCGCAGAAGACGATCGTGGCCTTGGACTATGGGCAGTCAAGCTCACTTAGGAGCTGCCGGAGCCAGGTGCACTCAGCCACAGCGTTGGCAACGCCGCGGTATTCAGCTTCTGCGCTTGAACGGGAGATCGTGGTCTATCGTTTCGATGACCACGAGAGGAGGGAGTACCCCATGAACACACAGAAGCCTGAAGTTGAGCGCCGGGTGTCCGAGCATCTAGCCCAGTCTGCATCGGAATAGGCGATGAGGTCTGAGTTGTTGGAGCACCGGAGATGAAGGCCGAGCGCTGAGGTGCCGCGGACGTAGCGGAGAATTCGCTTGACAAGGCCTTGATGCGCCGTTGTGGGTGCGTGCATGTGAAGACATGCTTGCTGGACGGCGTACTGCAAGTCAGGGCGAGTCATCGTCAGGTATTGAAGAGCGCCGACGAGGCTCCGGTAGTCCGAGGCGTCCGAGGTGGATAGAGGAGAGCCAACATCGCTTGATAGCTTCCCGGTGGTGTCGACGGGTGTGTCGCAGGAGCGGCAGTCGGTCATGCCAGCGCGTTCCAGCAAGTCAAGGGCGTACTGCTGCTGTTGGAGGAAGAATCTGTCGTCGTTGCGCTGAACTTGAATGCCAAGGAAGTAGTGGACTGGCCCCATGTCTTTGAGCGTGAACTCAGCATTGATGGTGTTGATGACCCAGCACAGGAGGTCGCTGGAGGAGGCTGTCAGCATGATGTCGTCCGCGTAGAGTAGTAGGCACACAGACTCCTTGCCCTGCCGCAGAACGAAGAGGGAGCTATCGGAGCGGGTGGGCTAAAATCCCATCGAGCCGAGGAAAGTCGCCAGGCGCAGGTACCATGCCTTGGGCGCCTGCTTCAAGCCATAGAGGTTCTTGGAGAGGCGACACACCAGGTTCAGGTTGTCGGTGAAGCCTGCGGGTTGTCGAGCGTAGACCTGTTCATTGAGCACGCCGTTAAGGAAGGCGTTGTTGATGTCGAGTTGGTGGACCAACCAGTGGCGCTGAGCGGCGAGAGTGAGCACTGTGCGCACTGTTGTCGGTTTGACGACCGGGCAGTACGTCTCGCCATAGTCAACACCCGCTCGCTGTGTGAAAAGCCACGGACAACCCAACGGGCCTTGTACCGATCGAAGCTCCCATCTTCCTTGAATTTGTGACAGAAGATCCACTTGCCACTGACTACGTGGGCGCCATGTGGATGAGGAACGAGCTCCCACGTGTCGTTGGCGATCAAGGCATCGAATTCTAACCGCATCGCCTTGCTCCAGTTGGGATCTTTGAGGGCCTGATTCATCGTGCGCGGGATAGGCGAGATGGCCGCCGTGGTTGCTGTCCCGGCATAGCGGGGGTTGGGCTTGAACATCCCCGCCCATGCCTTGGTCACCATGGGGTGGGGTGCTAGAGCGGCGACTGGGGCTGGTGATGAAGTAGAAGCCACGGTCGATGACAGGGTCCTGTGCGCCGGGGTTGTCGATGATGAGGATGGACCTGGCGACGGTGATCGTGGCGAGGCGGGCGGAGAGTCGGTGCCACCTTGGTCATGCGTGCGCGGGGGGCACGCTCGGCAATCGCGGGGGCGATGGTGGAGGCGGCGCCGGTGGTGCCTCATCGGTTGCGCTAAGATCCGGACGCCATGGATCATAGGCGCAGGTTGTTGGAGAGGTGGTCGATGGCCTCGATCGAAAGGGGAAGATAGCTTTGTCGAAGTAGACGTGTCGCGATGTGATCACTTTCTGCGTCATCAAGTTGTAGCACCGGTAGCCACGATGATCATGCGAGTATCCAATAAACACACAAGCCACAGACCGTGGTGAAAGTTTGTTAGAGCTGGTGGATTCGGTGTTTGGGTAACACAGGCAACCAAATACCCGTAGGGACATGTAGTCTAGATCAGTGTGGTAGAGTAGGGAAAAAGGTGTGGACAGCGATCGGGGTTTGCAGGGTTTGTGATTCAGAAGGTATGTCGAGGTGTTCAGAGCTTCGACCTAGAAAATCGGTGGAAGAGCGGCATGAAGAAGTAGTGCACGTACGCCCTCATTCAAGGTGCGCAAGGCACGTTCGGCTTTTCCATTCTATTGAGAAGTGTAGGGGCACAAGAGCCTGAGCAGGATGCCATGCTTAGAGTAAAACTGACGAAGGACGGAGTTATGAAACTCGCGTCCATTGTCTGTTTGGAAGGCGCGTACTGGATTGGCGAACTACGTGCGAGCATAAGCATGAGAAGACATGATATGTTTGGCGACATCAGATTTGTGACGCAGTGGGAAGGTCTAGACAAAGTGCATAAAGTCATCTAAGAGCACAAGATAGTACTAAAATCCGGTAAAGCTTGAGACAGGTGATGTCCAAACGTCACAATGAATCAATTCAAATGGAACAGTAGTTTTGTGTTGAGATGAATGAAACGGGAGACGGACATGTTTGCCTATACGGCAAGCATGACAAGTATGTGATGGCTCCTTATTACAATTGAATTCAAAATACTGAAGAAGACGACGAAAGGATTCGTTCCCGGGGTGTCCAAGCCACTGGTGCCACTGGTCTACAGAGATGGTGGTGAGGTAGTGGGTGGATGCAGTGGCCGTTGGTTGTAGTGGATAGAGATCGCCCTTGCTATCACTACAGAGAATCACCTCCCGGGTATGCCGATCCTTAATAGAGAAACCACAATCGTCAAATTCAATTGTGATAGGATTGTCACGTGTAAGAGCGTGAACTGAAACAAGGTTTTTGATTAACGAGGGAGAGACAAGAACATTGTTTAGGGAGAGAGGATTGGAGGTGGTGGGTATAGAGGAAGAACCAGTGTGTGTAATGGGGAGAGAGGTGCCATTACCGACAATGATTCTGGTGGAGGAAGAGTTTGGAGATAGAGAAGAGATGTTACCGGAGCCTCGGGACATGTACGAAGAGGCACCGGTGTCGAAGAACCAATCACTGGCGGACTGAGGCTGGTGCAGTGAGATGTTGTTGAGTGTGGCGAACAGCTGTGGATCCAGCTAGGAGGAAGCGTCGGTGACATGAGCCTAGGGTGCTGGGGCTGAGGGTCGGGCGCCGAGAACGCCGACCGTCATAGCGCGTGGTGGCACCTGGAATGGCCACGCTGAACCATGCCCGTCCACGGGTTCATCGTCGGCCAGAAGCAGGGCGGTGGCGCCTGGTTCGATGGCGCGCCTTTCTTCTTCTTCTTTTTGTTGTTGGAGGAGGAAGGCGTGGAAGGGCGACCGCTATTGTAGGGTGCTGAGGGAGTGGACGTCGTGGCCAGCAGTTTGCCGATAGCGCCCTAAGACGTGGGCGCACCAGGTACGGTGTGGGCGATGAAGGTGGCCTTGGCCTGAAGATGTGTAGCCGATGGCACCGTGGATGGAGCAGCAGACGAGGATGATCCGATGTTCGTGGCCTGGGCGACCATGGCCACCGCAGCCTGCATCTTCTCGGACTCGGCGATGCGGTGTTCTTCGAGCTGCAGCATGGATCGTGTCTTGAGGAACGACGACAGGCGGCGGCGAAGGGTGATGTGTGGAATCGCATGGTGGAGACGAGGGTTGAGGGCGCGGACGATGTTGTAGATGAGGTCTTTGTCGTTCACCGGAGAACCGAGGTCGACGAGGCGGTCTGCCATGACCTTCATACAGGAGCAGTAGTCGAGGACGGTGAGGTCACCTTGGTAGAAGTTGTGGAACTCGGCGCCGAGGTAGACGGCGTGGGTGTCCTTGTTGTCGCGGAAGAGGTTGCGGACGCCGCGCTAGATGGAGTAGGCGGTGTCGGTGTCCTCCGAGACCATGGAGAGGAGCTCAGGGGAGATACGGTTGTAGAACCAGGAAATGATGGCGCAGTCGTTCTGCACCCAATCATTGTCGCCCTTAGCCGCAGTGCCGTCGACGTGATCACAGAGCCTGTACTGACCGAAGATGGCGGAGAAGGAGCGAGCCCAGGCGACGTAGTTCGCGTCATTGAAATCGAGGACGATTGGCACGCGGTTCAGGATGTTGATGCCGTGGACTACCGACGGGGCAGCGGGCTCAGTCTGGACGCGGAGCGTGTGTGGGAGCAGCAACTCGGTGTCGGAGTTGTCATCGGAGCCCGTCGAGGAAGCAGAAGAAGAGCTCATGGTGGCGGCGAGAGGAAAGCGGAGAGTTAGGCAGCGGAAATTGTGGATCGTGGAGCGGTTGATACCATGTAAGCAGGAGAAAGAACAATGAGGACGACTCAATTGTATTGATCAGAGGCTTACGCCTTTATACAATTACATCATGGTCAGATAATTGACGAAGCTAGCTACATTCAAGGAGAGCCTTAGGACGTGTGAACGTGCACTGAACGTGCACGGAAACTTCTCGCTCACACTATCGCTAAC